ATTTAAGATGATACATTTCACATTTGACATTACGTAGTATAACATATAAGCACTTAAGTTGTTGTGACGGCCGAAGACGGAGCCTGTGACTGCGCCCATGACACTAAATCCTCCCTGGTTGCCACAAAAGACCCAGCTTTCTCTTCACTCTGTCTAAATGGTGCAGCCAATTTCTTCACATGAGAACCGAAGAAATGCGACAGCCCTTGCGAGAATTTGTGAGTTCCGCTGCCAATTTGAGCGGAGAACGTCTCCGGCAACACCTCTTCACGCTGAACTATTTTGTACAGCGTTCCCATCCACTCTTCAAGTGCAGTGTGAGCTGCACTGATGGATAGTGACCTAACATCCAAACACCACTCCCTTGCAGTCTTGTTGTGTAGACCCGGATACAAGCCGTACAGGGTTCCCAAGTAGAGCAGCTCATGAGCTCTCTCATGGTTGTTTTTGTTTCGGCATATATCAATCAGGCAATTACAGAAGGGTCTCCGGGATTCAACCGCGGTGCTACCAATAACATCCCTGAATTCATCTTTAATTGTCTCAAACCCGATATTCTTATTTTGCAGCACCTTGACAAGAGTCACCAACTTTGGCTTAGCCTGCTGCAAACAAGAAAGCACCCTATCCTCATCCTCAGTTTCTTCACACAACGAAACGATAGAGAGTAAGCACCCACAAAGCCTATCATCTGGTTTAACCCCTTTTTCAACTGCAACGCCAAAGACTTGAACCATATCATCGAATCTTTTAGCTTTCCCCAAACCCTGAATCAAACAAGTGCACCCCATGACATTGAGCTCGATACCCAACTCTGACATTTCCTCAAACAATTTCATTGCCTCATCAACATTCCCACACTCCCATAGATGTTCAGCATTGCAGTGTAACTCCAACTGTCCGGCCTACAATGCTCCGACTGCTTCATATCGTCAAAAAGCTTCTTAGCTTTATTCTCCAAACCAAGGTCAGCACACATATTCAACAATGTGTTATACAAAATGAAGTCCATAGGCCACTTATTCGACCTCATTCGCTCCCACAATTCCAAAGCATCTCGAGCCACCTTGCCTTGCCATATATCTTAACAAGGGCGGTCAATGATTTCTCATTCGGGGTTAGCCCCGATTCCACCATTTCTTCAAATAAGCTCCTCGCCAAACTAGGCTTTCCAGCCTTCCCCATTGCCTCTAACAAAGTGTTGTACACAACCAAATTAGGCTCCACACCAAGAGCAGCCATTTCTTGCAAGACATACCTAATACCATCGTAATCCCCAGCCTCCCCAAACATCTTACCCAAAACCGAAAATGCAATCGGGTCCGGTTTCCAGCCACTAGCTCTTCCCCTCTCATACAAACTAAGAACCTCCTCAACCTTTCCCAATTTAGCATAAACATCTAAAATGGCAGAGTAAGTCACCTTATCCGGCATCAAACCGGTCTTGTACATCCTCTCAAACCACTGCACCGCCTTGTCGAAAAGCTTGGACCTCTTGGCACAAGTGATTATTGTAGAATACGTAATGTTATCGAGCTCAATCTCGTCCCTTATCATCTCTTCCGCGAGCTCTTCGATGAGTTGAAACTGCCTCCTGAATCTCAGAGACTTCATAGTGACATTGTAGAATATGGTTTCCATGGGAAACAAATTCTGGGACTTGACCCAGTTGAAGAACATGTGGGTTTTCTGCCATGGCTTCAAGCTGTTAAGAATTAAAAGCGCATTTTCTCGGGTGGGCGGGTGCGGGATTTCTTCAAGGGTGGCCAAGAAGGCAACTTTAGTGGCATCACAATCGTAGAGAGACCGCTTCTGCCGCTGCAGAGAGAGCACGGAGCGTTTGGGCTTGGCCGGGTTAACCCAGATGGATTTGGGCTTGGATATCAACTGGGAATGGTCTTTTGGCGGAGGAGGGTCGGAGAGGGTGGTTATGGTTAGCGGTCGGAGTTGCTCAGACAAAGATAGAGATGGGTCTTTGCTCTTCGTCTTCTTGGTGGTAACGGCGGTGCTAGCGGCGGGTTCGGCTACATCCGGCGGAGATTTGGGAAGAGACTTGGCGGAGCGGCAAGAAATGTTGAATTTTTTGGGTGAAATTTGTCGAAAAGATGGAGAGAAGAAGATGAGTCTCTTTATATCTGAATTCACATTCCAGTGGACCGCACTAGTAGCCATTGAGATCGAGAGAATTGTTCGGTAAAAGGAAGATGCCTTGGATATTTTGTCACCTTATCTATAAATTGAAGACAATTGGATTTAGGACGAACCCTGAAGTGTGATTTTCTTTCTGTTTCTTAAACAATAAATATTATTACATTAACAGACGAAGTAAGTTTAGTTTCAGAATGGATTAGTAATAAGATAAATATTAGTAATAATGTGGCTCAAAGCCTCAAAATGAGTTTAGCCTCAGAATGGACTAGTAATAATGTAGCTCAAATTTATTTTTGATGAGAATCGAATCTAAGACCTTTCACTTACCGTTGAAGAAGAATACCACTAGACCACAATACTAAGTGGCCGTGAGTGTTATACGGATACATTCTGTTTCTTGTTCCCCGACAATTTCCCTCCTCTTTGTTCATCCATATTTTGATTTTCAGCCTTATAAAATGCTAAGATTGTGTGTAGAGCTCTGGTGATTTCACTAGCTCGGGTGTTTTCAACGCCACCACTTTCTCTTTGTTACCTACCTTTATTGGTAGTGTCATTTGTGGATTTTCACAAACTTTATCTTCATTGCTAGCTTCTCTCGTTTGGTTGAAAGTTATCCTTACTTTATGACTGTGCTTAGGAAGTAGATTGGAGTTGGATGTGGCGTTTGGTGAGGTGTCGTTTGGATGTGGAAGAGGATTTGGATGAATCGGGAAGATCCATGGCGACAACGAAAGCAGTAGAAGCTTCTGGGTTCTGGTACTATGTTTTGATTTAGGGTAAATTACACTTTCATACCTCAGGTTTGAAGTCTATTTCAATTCCTTACAACATCTTCAAAACATTTCACTTTCATACCTTAAGTACTATTTTATTTCAAAATAATACCTCTGTTACATTTTCCATTCATTGATCTATTAAATGCTGACGTGGCTGCCACATATATGCCACGTGCCTGCCAAATGTCTGCCACGTGGCAAATAAAATAATTTTTTTAATTTTTTTTTAAAAAACCTGAATTTTCTCAAAAAAAAAAGAAAAAAAAATTGAACAAAAAAGGGTAAATTACACTTTCATTCCTCAGGTTTGAGGTATATTTCAATTTCTTACAACATCTTTAAAACATTTCACTTTCATACCTTAAGTACTATTTTATTTCAAAATAATACCTCCGTTACATTTTCCATCCATTGATCTGTTAAATGCTGACGTGACTACCACATATATGCCACGTGGCAAATAAAATATTTTTTTAATTTTTTTCAAAAAACCTAAATTTTCTCAAAAAAAAAGAAAAAAAAAATTGAAACTAGTGCCTTCCCCCGCACCCCCCAGCAACCCTAACCCAGAACCCAAAAACCTGCAAGAAGAAGAAGAAGAAGAGGGAGAAAAATAAAAAAATAAATAAAACCCAGTTCGTCCCACCCTGAGCCACCCCTTTCTCCGATCCCCCATCACCCCTCCCAAAAATCCCCATCACCAACAAAAATTACACCCGAGATTAGGTGGATCTACCACAAAACCAGTCCAAAAATCATCTCAAACTCAAAGTATTTTCAAAACCCACCTATACTAAAAATCATGAGATCCTGACCCGAGAGGAGCGGGGAAGGTCGCGTGGCGCCCCAGGGGGGGTGGTTCGCGCGACGCTGGTGGGGGAGGGAGGTGTGTCGCGGGGGCGGGGGGGAGGTTTTTTTTTTTTTCTTTTTCTTCCTCCCTCTGGATTTTGGGTTAGGGATAGGGATGTGGGTCGCTCTGGGGGGGGGGGGAGTGGGTTTCTTTTTTTTTTTCCAATTTTTTTTCTTTTTTTTTGAGAAAATTCAGGTTTTTTAAAAAAAATTAAAAAATTATTTTATTTTCCACATGGCAGACATTTGGCAGCCACGTCAGCATTTAACAGATCAATGGATGGAAAATGTAATGGAGGTATTATTTTGAAATAAAATAGTACTTCAGGTATGAAAGTGAAATGTTTTGAAGATGTTGTAAGGAATTGAAATAGACCTCAAACCTGAGGTATGAAAGTGTAATTTACCTTTTTTTTTCAATTTTTTGAGAAAATTCAGGTTTTTTTAAAAAAATTAAAAAAATATTTTATTTGCCACGTGGCAGATATTTGGCAGCCACGTCAACATTTAACAGATCAATGCATGGAAAATGTAACGGAGGTATTATTTTGAAATAAAATAGTACTTAAGGTATGAAAGTGAAATGTTTTGAAGATGTTGTAAAGAATTGAAATAGATCCCAAACCTGAGATATGAATGTGTAATTTACGTTTTGATTTATGGGTCTAATTGCTTCTTAGCACTTTTAGTGTTTTTTTTTTTAATGTTTGGCCTCTTTTTTTGGTTGTTTATATGTTAGTTTTGGACAAATGAAAACTAATGAAAAGAGTTTGAAAACTTTGAGTTTTAACGATAAGGACAAAATAAAGGGTAAAATGAATATACCAGGATTGACTTTTTAGTGTAAAAATATGATTTTTCGTTAAAGTGAACAGTATCGTGAGTTTTTCGTTAAAACTCTTTTGGACAATGCTTGTATGTAAGGTTTGTGTTTGTATTAAAAATTACCTTTTACCAAAAAAAATAAATTTGAATTTAGGACAAAAGTGAATTAAGGGTTGAATTTTAATTTGGATACGAAGACAAAAAAATTGGGTTATTTTGATGGACAAGGATTGTCTGCCCTTCCGTGCCCTCCTGTTTTGTGTGGTCACGGTTAAGCCACATCAATATTTTATATTGTTATTTTTATAGAGATAATAAGACAAAAATAAATAGTAATATAAAATATTAATGTGACTTAACCGTGACCACACAAATAGAAATGCACGGGAGGACACCAAAAATAGAAGGGCGGACAATTCTTATCCTATTTTGATCCACTACAAGGGTGGGTAACAGGTGAGCTCGAAAGCTGTTCCCGTCCCTGTCAAGGGAGATGCCAACCATCTCTCCTTTTTTCAAACACAGGCATGTTTGGGAGTGGAAGCTACATGAACAAGATAAGACTTCGAAGTCTCGCCGATGTGGACCAACAGATGCTTATCGGATTTGAGGCTTGGTGGTACCGCTATGGTTGGTTGATGCCAGATCATTCAATAAAGTGCAAAACAAATGGCAAGGGAGGATGGTTTTAAACACTCACGGCTTCTCTTTCACTCAAAGCCAATCTTAAAAGTTTTTCTTTCTCATCCACCGACCGCAATCACTAAAATTTCTTCTTTCTCAGCCGCCGCATTATGTCTTTCCCCAATCTTAAATATATCTCTTGTTCTCGACTGTTTTGTGACTCGGTGTTCTTTGAACTTTGTCTCAGTATATCCTGAACTTGTCCCAGATTTATATTTTCTCTCTCAAAATATCGTTCTTTACTGCGAATCCTCAATCATCTACTTGTTCTACTCAACACTCAACTCATTGGGTGCTTCCTTCGAAAATCACGTCTGACAACACATCTTAGTGGTTGGTAGCTTTTATAGTGCAATTTGCATTATTTGGTATGATTATGAGAGGACGAGTGCGTGTGGCTTATCTACCCAGTTTTCCATTCATCCATTTGGTTCATTGGTTCTTCTTCTAGGTGGTGACGACTTTGTAGTGGTGGTGCAGTTGGTATGGTGGAGACGGCCATTTCCTTTTTCATATATAAGGTTTTTTGTTTACATATTGCTATATGATGTCTCTTTTGGGCTTATTTATTGTAATTCCTTTATATGAGTTGAACTTTTGTTTAGCTGTTTCGAAATCTCTTTTTAGTTGGTTTTTACTTTGTACTAGCTTTCTTTATTTAAAAAATCTATTTGATAGGGAAAAAACCAGAAGTGGTATCGAAGGCGGAGGATAAAGAAGGTACCCCACTACTTATCTATATGGAAGAGCCGATTCTGTGGTGGAGGAGATGAATTTTTCACTCAAGCTTGAACTTGTCTAGAATTTTATGTTTTATTTTGCTTTCTAGTTTGTTGTTTCTTCTCAAAAGCCTACAATCATTATTATTTAAGTTAAGTTATTTCCTGCCACTTAGTAGTACGATCTGCTGGTATTTCTATTTACTTGTAAGTAAAAGGTTTTAGGTTTGATTCTTGCTAAAGGCGAATTTGAATCACATTATTGTTAGTTCATTATGAGATTAAACTCACCTCCTCCTCTTTAATGTAGATAATCTCGTTTGTTTTAAAAAAAAAAAAAAATGTTAAGCTATTTTCTTTTACTAGCTTTCAGGATGTTCACTGGTAGGAGTTTATATCAAGACACATGCCCTTTACCTCCTCCAAAACTTGGCCGAAACGGGTTTGGCGGCCTTTTGGGCCAATTTTGTACTTTAAATATCTCATAACTAAAAGAACTCAATAAGTTTGTGGGTCTAGTGGCTCAATTTTGTAGTTAACTCATCTCATAACATAAATAAAACCCAATGGGTTAGAGCCCAACGGCCAGCTGATTTTGAAACTATTTCGGGATTGTTAATCTAACCTACTTATAAATAAAATTCTGTCAATCAAATAGGGTGAAAAAACTATTTAGTCTTCTATTACATAAAAAAATAAATTATAGGCTGTAATGTAATTTCAAGGGTCAGATTAATTACACTAACACCCCCTGACGTTTATCGAGTTTTCACAAAACTCCCTCACGTTTGAGACATTACACAAACATCCCATCAGGTTTTGTTTATAAAGTAACTAATTTACCCTTATTAATTACTTGAAACTAATAAAAAAAAACTTTATAATTACATAAAAAATTATAAAATATTAAACACTTTAAGAAAGATAAATCACATTTCACACTCTCGTGTTTGTAGTCAATTACAATCTCATACGACATCTTTAAAACATATCAATTTTATATTTAATTAATAATAAGCAAACTTATCAAACATTCTTCTCCTACACGAACCCAACAACCCTAATCCTTTTTTCTCTCCACTGTTTATCTCACAAACACTGTGATAGAATCACAAATCTCAGGACTCCATTCAACCTACCAGCAGCAATAGAAATAGCAAATGGAGAAGATGAAGTAGAAGGGAGCAGAGCTCCAATGTATTTTGGGTTTGTAAATTATGATACGTTACAATTCAGGGAACTCAACTTCTTTTATAGACTTTACAACTTTAATGCCAGTTGTTGTTCATTTGGAGTTCTCTCAACAGATGACTTCATCACACAATCGCCTTGCCTGTCAACACATTGGAGTTGTGGTTCGACGAGATGGCGGAGCAGGAACAGGAGGAGAGGTGTTAGTCATCATAATCGGAGCAGATCGGCTGGAGCAGATGATCTTTCAAATAGAATGTGTTTGGGTTAATATTTGAACATTGGACTTAGATGAAAGAAAGCCCAAGGATGCCAACTAAAAGGGGACTTGCCTGAAGCCCAACACCAAGCCCAGAGGCAAATTGAAGACTTCTTAGCCAAAATGCAAGTCACGTGCTTACTATTGAAGTGACAAGCGATGAAGACTAACCTACTACTAGTCAAATAACACTTTCTAGTGGCATTCCGAGTAAAAAGGCTGATGACTCACTACCCCCCAAGTGCTTTCAGGCAAGAACAAAGTCATAGCAGTTGGGCTAAATCGCCTATAAAAGGGGGAAGAGGCCCCAGAGACAAGGACACTCAACCAATCAAACAAACAAACATACAAACTCTGCTCTCAAGCCAGATTTGCATCCAAAAGCTGAAATCAACCCAAATTCAGTCATTTTTTAGTGACAAGCTATCATTTGTCTAGTTTAAAGCTCTGCTACCTCTCTCAGTGGCGTAGTATCGATTCCCTTGTGTAAACTTGTTTACCATCCATCCCTTTTTAGCATATAAACCCTGTAATTTCAAAGAGAAGTAACTGCAAGAACTTCAACCTTGCCATACAAGGTAAAATCTTACCCGAAGCTCTTTGTTTGTTTCTAAGTTAATAGATCTATTACTTAATGCATTCTCCATTATGTATTCATATCCACCTGCTTTCCTACTTTAAGAGTCTTATTTGTATCTAGATCTGGTTAGTTTAATGAATATGTCTTCATTAAAAGCAATCTAGGACCAAGCAAATGACTTAAAGGGATCTGGGCTCCATTCATTCACACATACAAGATTATGAACTAAAAGTCCTTGTTTACAAGGCAAGAACAAGAACTTAATTTGGACTTAACCCATCCATGACAATCCTTTGATCACAAGAAGTCCGAGTAACTTGGAGCGCAAGCAATCGACTAAACACACTCGTTCTACATCTGCTATACTGAGATAGCAGTGGCACGCCTAACACTAAGTCAATTTTGATTGCGAGCCTTAAGGCCTACACTTAAGGCCCCACAAAAGCACCTTTCAGAACTAACTCTATCCTCTTCTTGTAGCACATCAACAAGCAAGAGCCCGACTACACATCCAATGTGCCAATCCCTTGGGGAGCTATGCTGAGGCCTGAGGATCCTTCCCCAGAGAAATCTTAGCCCGAACAAAATGCTTCCATAGCTTTGCCCTTTCTTTCATGGCTTCTTCGCCGCTTCAAAGAAGATAAATACATCTTCGATCTTTGAGAAGATACAGCTTCAAAAGAAAGGGTATGTGAGAGAAAAAAAAAATTGATGGGATTTGAAGAAAGATCGAATACAGCTCCAAATTCAAGAAAGATTGAAAGAATGGTGAGGATGATTTTTTTTTTTTTTTGGCAAATTCAAGAAATCAAGAATGTCAGTGAGATTTTTGGAGTGATTAAATGAGAAATTGAATTAAATTGGATTGATAGATGGGAGGAGGAGGAGGGCTTTTCCAGAAAAAAAAAAAATATTGGGAAGGAAGAAAAACCAACAGGATCCTTTCTGGATCCTCTTTGTGAGGATCCGGAAGATCCATGAATCGTGTCCGTTTATCATGCATCATACGATCAAATTTTGTCAAGTACTGTTTGTGTTCAATTTTAAATATAAAAAAATTTAAAAATATATATAATTGTACGATGTACGATGAATAAACACGATTTACATATCCTCAGAATCCTCACAAAGAGGATCCGGATTCGATGTAAAAAAGTGATGCAAGAAAGTGGGTGCGTTATTCAAGACAAATTTTTTTGAGTGTTCAATGTTTTATAATTTTTTTTATATAATTATAAAACATGAATTATTAGATTCAAGTAATTACTAAGGGTGAATTAGTAAATTTAAAAGTAAAATTTTGACTTAAGGGGTTATATGAAAGGAAATTAAAACATGAGGGGGTGTTTGTGTAAGATCTCAAATGTGAGGGGGTTTTGTGAAAACTCGATAAACGTCAGGGGGTGTTAGTGTAATTAACTCGTAATTTCACAAAACCAAATTTTGCTGTTTTTTATTTAAGTCTCACCTTCTTGTGATTTTACCATACAATCTAATATTAAAAAATAAAAAACAAAAACCTCTCTTCCCACTCCCACTCCCCCTCCCACTTTCTCCCTCAACCTTTCTCATTCCCATTTTAAAAACAAGAAAAAAAAATGTTCACACACAAAGTATGTGGCAAGTCTAATTAATTAAAACTGTCTAAGTTCATTTCAACTTTTAACTGAATAATCTAAGAGAAATGTTAAGGGGTAACTTAGAATTATGGTCTAGTGATATTTCTCTTCACTTGTAAGTGAGAGGTCTTATGTTTGATTCTTGCTAAGGGCAAATTTGAACTACATTATTGGTAGCCCATGGTGAGGCTTATTCCACTCCCCCACCCCCTTAGTATAGATAATATTGTTTGAAAAAAAAAAAAAATGTTAAGGGGACTCTCTCAAAAGTGAGACTCTTTATAGACTTTGCGCTACCTCACAATAGTACGTTAATTTCCATACTAATATTGTAAAACATTGTGCCTAAAACATGATGTAGCAAAGAATATATGGAGAGTTCTACTTTTGAGATAGTCTCCTTAGCATTTCTCATAAGAGTTCAAAGCTCAGGAGGCATGGCATTGGGAGAGACGACAATGAGATTTGGTTCCATTTTAGGTTTCTTTTCCATTTTTTTATTTTGAACATTTTGAAAGGAGAAGATTTAAAAACAGAATCTAAATTTAATATCAAACAAGTTTTTGGGTTGTAATTCTTTTGTTCCAAAACTTGTTGAAAAAACAAAAGAAAATCATGTCTTTGAGTATTTTTTTTTTTTTCGGTAACAAAAAGTTTAGGGGGAGAGGAGCTACCCCATCCCAAAGCTAGGGCATACCACATGCCTCTTTGAGAACTTACAAGGGGGGTCTTATCTCTTTTTTTGGGTTTTACAAATTGCCCACCAAGAGGAATTGCCTGCAGTAGAACTCAAATCTAAGCCTTGGTCTATCGAAGAGAATGATTCTTACTAACTCAACCAATTTTCGTTGATGCCTTTGAGTATTACTTTTCAAGTAGGATACCAAACGTAATTTTTCACATATCTCATTTTTGTGTATTGATCAATAGAGGCGGCTTTGTGGAGGGAGGGAGGGGAGTGCCAAATGTGCAATCGCACATGGCTGCAAATTTTGAGGAGACTTAAAAAAATTGTCATTTAATATACATGTACTAATGCCATATATTAAAATATTATTTTTGTTAGCACTTTAAAATTTTATTGTGCACTCCTTATAAATGTAAATTTTTTTTTCAAAATATAAAAATTTGGAGTGCCAATAGCAACTCTCTAAAAACAATTTTTTTTTCCTTCAATTTTATTATATAATAATGCCATCTATTAAAGTGAAACATTAAAGTTAGAGATTTTGAAGCTTTTTTCCTTGTTTGGTTGTTCAAGATTGAATTACTTTCGATTGTTTAATGAATGTTATGTTTGTAGCTCTTTCTAATTATTATTTAATGACATTGTAAACTTACAATCAATGAGTCTTAAATTTGTTTTGATTAATGTTATTGCTTTCTAGGATCAATACATTGTTCTACTTTTTTTTTTTGGTAAGGTCTAATTGGATTAATAGTCTCCGTGGTGATAGGGTAGTTGGAAGATATCCTTAGTAGTTAAAAAAAAAAAAAAAAAAAACACTAGGATTTAAGCCCCTTATAATGAAGTCCGTTAGGATTTAGGCCCAAAATTGAAAATTCCATCAACTCTCTGTTAATTGTTAGCACATGAGGCACACATGTGAGACTAAGAAGATAAAGTTAGCCTCACATGTAAGATGCACGTGTTAA